GGCTGTCTTAGTTGCAACTGCAGGTATTTCTTTCTAAAAGGTGCATTTAGTTTATTTTTATATATCTATTACATATATTCCTGCATTATTATGTATTAAATGGTATATATATTATGTAATTTAAGCATTATCTATGGGTTTTCTTATTTATCAAACACAAATTATTATTTATGTGTATATATATAATTTTATATGTGGAATACAGTCATGCAATATGCATAATACTTATATTTTCTCATTTAACAATAATCATGCTGCTTATATAGTAATATTTTTACAAAAAGCTGTGACTTAAAACTAAAGACTCCGGTGTTCTGTCTATGGTAAGTCACAATATCTGTAGTGAGTTGGTGGAAATGTAATAAGCTGTATGGCAAAGAAGATTCATACCTATGTTATAGAAGAGCACAAACACTTTGATTCCATCATTCAAAAGTAACATTAAACTTGTGTGCAAGAGAATTTTTGGTACCTTTGAGCTAAGAGGAAAAAGGAGAAAAGAATTAACTGTTTTCCATACATTTTATAAATATTACACAATGTTCTTACTTTAGATTAATACAATCCACATATTTTTTCCTTCATTTTGGAATTTAGCAGTCCCTTTACACTATTTTGATTTAATATTCAGTCATTTTTATCTCCTTGGTTATTAGATACTGTGCACATGGTTCTACAGCGCAAAATACTGTGATGATGATGACTACTATCATGTACTGAGAAACTTGGATTTTGCTTCTGCAGGGCCTGCTGCGGAAAGGCTCCGCTGCCATCTAGTGGCAGCATCAGGAAATACACCTCAGCAGCACAGATGAAATGATTCAAAGCCTTAAAAATGCATCCTTTCGTTTTAATAAAGAATAGGTAAGAAAATTCCGAAATTCTCTGAGGACACAAACTAGTAAATGTAGTTAAAATTAAATGGGTAAAAACTAAGCATTTATCTCTGCTATATAAACGCTTACATGCATCACCTTTATGAGGATGTTACAATTGAATTGTGGACATCAATGAACTCATTAAGAAATATGAACTATTCTGATTGTTACTCATTGTATATGATAAAGATTCAATATTTTAATGTTAATTACTATGAACCTTATCTGACTAGAATTGATTTCAAGTGTCATTAAAAGCCTCTGGTTACTGTGATAACATAGAGATAGTGCTATAAAATATAAACTGTATGTCATTTAATTCCTTTCCTGTGAGTGTTTTACGTCCCTCAGGACTGCTACACTTCCTGCAAGTTTCAGCCACCTAAAAAAACAACCACCCTTTCACACTGGCTGTATGGACAAAGCTCTGAGTTGTTTTACAGAAAGTTTACAGAACAATTCTTATAGAATAAAAACCATTATGAATTTCCTTCACATAGCTAAGGAAAAAATATAACTTACAAAATAAAATGGAAAAATAAAAGATCACATTACATGCCCTTCAGGACAAAACTACAGGACACTTCCTATTGATGACGAACAAACAAACCACTCACCTGCAAGCCCCTGCATGTAGATTTCTTGGGACAGATTATGTCTAACTTCCTTTTTTTCTGACATCGCTGAGGACTAACTATTCTAGACAACAAATATCTATGATAAGCATAACTGCTCAAAATCCCACTCATCCCAAATAA